TTTGTCTAATTTGAAGTTGACTATTTTAACTAAAAAGACTAAATTATTCAAGAGAACAATCTATGTTTCTGTGTTTAAACATGTAATTAGTGCTTATATAAACAATTTCTCGATAATTTTCATAACATGAACACCAATCGAATGAACATCTTGAATTTCCAGCATTTACTAGACAGAAAAGTTCCAGTTATTTCAGTGCATCAGTAATGAGTTGAACTTTGAATAAAAGAAAATTGAGCTAATTCTTATTAAATAATTTCATTGAGATTCTGTACCGACTTAAGTTAGACCACCATTGAAAGACTTGAAGTACTAGATGGCCGTTCCTCCCCAGTATGGGAACACTCCACAGCAGTGCGCATCCACGACCCCGAATATGGAAATCGAACCAAGAACCTTCGACCACGTTCAAGAACGCTTAAGTTTTAGGCTACTGAATCGTCATTCAAAGGCCTTAATGTCTAACTTCATGAGTTCAATGAAATTCAACCATCTCTACAACCGCTTACAGATGACTGTTAAATTTTGTTTGAGATATAATCTGAATTAGAAACAAACAAAATTATCATGTAATTCTTACCGAGTGATGATGATGCGACAGACTTATTCTTATTAATATCATATGTAATTCACACACTCAAAAAGGTATATTCTACAAAGCTCATGAATTGGTAAATATTAAATGAGAATAGATTCGACAATTTCTAGAAAAAAAAAATCTGGAAAATATTCTGTTAATTCACAATGACTAATTGCTACCATAAATGTTTATGATTTTCCAAATCAAAATTTTAGTTCATTCTATAATCTACACCTAGTGAAAAGATACTTCCAATTTTTAGTCGTTCTTTAGTTTTAATAATTTTCAATATACACTTTGATAAACTTACTATTATTAAATAATTTTACCGAAACAAAATAATCTGTATACGAATTTGTTCTCTTTTTTTTCGGTATGATTTAGTCATTATTAATGTAAGGTTACATTAATAGTTTTCTCATGGATATAATACCTAATAATAGAAGTTAAATTTCAATATTGATTTATGTAGGACTTCTGTTTTAGTTATCCGGTTCTATTTTTATTAGCAAGAAAAAAGAAATATTCATTTATATGTTTTATAATCATTATAAATCCATATATTACTAATAATAGCAATATTCTGTATGATATTCGACAAATATTTGAATGAAATCTCAGGGATATGTATCCAGTAAAAACAATATGAGGATGAACCACTTAGAATAGAAATGTTGATGAGGAACTCAGATATCACATATAACGAGCAGTAGAAATATCGTTTTACGGTGCCCAGAACGCTTAAAATGATAAAGGAACATCATTTTTTTTACCATGAGGTAAAGATAGAAGTGTTAAACACATAAGATGATTGATTCTTTCTCTGTACGTTGTATCTAACGGGCAAATAGACAGCATCTGCTATGGGGAAAATATCAAAGGAAGTTGAATTTCCGGAACTACCTTACCTGAACGTGTTATATTTTTGTTGTATAATTATTACTTAATTTATTGTATGACCATGCTAGTAAGCTTTTCTGTGATGGATAAACTGTTTTACCTTTCTGAAGTTATTGTTAAATCAGTATAGATCCATTACTCAGTTGTTTCAAATATGAAGTAGTGTGCATGTACTGTGACTTCTTAAATATGTTAATTTATGGTCAGGATTCTACTTAATATCACCGTATGAACGATCCATAAATTTGAACTGTGTAGTTATAGCATCTTTACGTTCTGTGTTGTCTTATCCTGATTATTGGACAAGCAATCATGGGAAAACTGTATTCTGGACCAACAGTAGTTAAGTATTGATCTCGGCTGTTTTCCCACTATTGTCGTACTATTGTTTATCAGATATTGTATAAGATAGATAATTTAGGCGAATTAATCAATACCCGGACTAGAATACAACTCCCGTCCTGCATTACGGTCCGATCACACAGACAAAGAACAACTCAGGAAATTTGTTTTAATTTCGTCACATCAGTGTCCCTAAATCTTTCAACTAGACTTTTAGTCCTGAAAAGAACTTTGACCTCGTGACATTATATTCTATGTACGAACAACTCTTCTAATTTCAGATTTTTACGAGGAATTTATTCATCCACATAGTTACAGATTAATTTTTCAGTACAGCTGATACCATTTCGTCATGAAAATCCTAACAAAGGACATATGGGACCTGCTAAAATCTAATTGGGCTATTATAAGGATTTAAGAGAACGGATGGTTTATATCCGTGTGAGTGAATTTAATTCTCTGTATTTTTGATTTACATTCAGAGTAATTTGTAGAAGACTTCGATAAATTATTTTTATAGAACTTTGTAGTACTGTTGTCTTATTTACCTGAAATTATCCACACACAAATAGCCATTTTCTGATTGTGTTAAGATAGGCTGAAAGTTTGTTGCGGTAATTCCCAAGTCATCCCAATATTACGCACCTAATGTATATCCTTCTACTTATCCCAGCGCTAATTTTCATGATGTATTTCGTCCGAATACCTTAAGATGCACTGAATGGTTTTTTGAAAAATTTCTGGAATGTTTTTTCATATCATCTCTAAGTCTTGAAATATAATAGCACGATAGGAACAATTCAGAAATGCATACTAATATCTTAACGAAAGTTAAACCGATTTGTAATCTACCGTTAACGATGTCAAATTCGATGTCCAGAAGCATTTACTACTGTTTTTTAACAGAGGTACATTGACTGATATCTCAATTAAAACTGATCATTTATGCTCACATTGGTAATGTCCTACAACAATAGCTGTTTATATTAGTCTGACAAGTTTACGGCTGGACGTTTTCCATGTTCAGTGAATGCGAAGTATCCAGTACTTTCCGTTCATCTAGTAGATGTGTGCTCATTTTGTTACGTATTTTTTAAGAGTGGCTTCAATTCAAACCCTGTATTTATTTTTCATCTGGCGTGTTACACTGCGCTGCACAAATATATCTATAGCGGAGAGTTGTGTACACCTCCAGATAAAAACGAGTGAAAATTACATTCAAATTTATGGCACTCCCTAAACGAACGGAAACAAAAAAAATAGCCGAAAGCGTTGATCACTTCACATGTACTAAACACCAACAAAAAAATGTGGATAACCATAGTATAAATTTACACTACTAAGACATTTGAATCACGATATTGCATACATACTAAACCACAAAAATCAATCATTCGTGAATATCAAAGTTAAATTTTCTGATTCGAGGGAAAGGAAAATATATTATCCATTATAACCAATAACTTTTGTGATTTTGTTTAATCACTATTTTTCATTTAAAATGAGTTCATCGATGCAAAATTGTAGGCCCAGTGAAATGTCATTGAGCCCTAGCCAAATCAACCGACAGTCGGGTCACTAAATGTCGCACAGTTCACTGATCCTCATCAAGTTCAAGGATAACAAACACGCACTAGTTAATTGCAAACCATGGACTGGTCCATGCGGTGATGATCGCACTCTTCCTTGTACCTACTCTTACTAATACATTTTGGTAACGTCGTTTGTTTTAGTCATCAAAGCACCCACGGAACCTGGATACGATTAAAGGGATGACTCAAGTTAAGTACTAACCATGAGATGTGACTTCGACCTTAGTTGGTCCCCAATCATCCGAAAACTTTTTGATGTTATCATCTTACTGGAACTAGAACACCTTAAGTCGTCCATTCTCATATCAATCGTAAATCGAAATCAATGCAAAAATAGTGAAGCAAGTAGATTAATGTATGATCATACATACATTCACCTTAAATGACTTCTTTATCTCATGATCTCGATTAACTCTAATAACTAGAAATTTGGCCTGATGTTGCTCTAAGTTGGTTTATGGGATAATTTAATCATGAATTAAATGTTTGTTCACATTATTGGACGCAGCTCACTGATCTCCAAACTGACAAGGCCACTTACCGAAACAGCTAACAGAAACATTGGTGGTTCGCCCATAGTTAAAAAACCTAAACACGATAATGGTGCGCTGGCCTAGCTTAGGGAGATAATTAAAAGTCCGCTATTAAATCACATACCATTAAAAAAATACCCACCTCACCTACAAATTCTTACCATCCTACATGTGTGACCACGAATTGAACCAATATTTAACAACACATCACTGTATTTAGCGTTTGTTATACAAACACAGCGTACATTTATATGTTTAGTGGGCGTATCAATATGGATTCAGACACTTCCCAACAATTCATTATACCACGAGTTTTGCTGGTGGTTTTCAAAGTACGACTATTCATGGTAGTTACATTGTTTTTATAATAGGGGACCAACCAATCAGACAATGGGTTTACTATATCACCATATCCGCCCTTTTTTCACGCTACATTTATGCTGACAACTCGGCGAAATGAACTTTGTTAAACAAAAGCAAAACGCTTATCTTTAATGTGTGGCGACTATCACATTGATTTCCGTTTGCGCATAAACCAGCCCTTTTGGAAGGTATTTCAACATACCATGAAATTCACCTCCGACACCCATGTTCCCTTTCAGTTTTTAATATGGATTTATTTTATGAGTCAGCTTCCTGGTGTCGCCTAACAACCAAACCAGTACCAAAGCAACTCAGTTTGCCAGATATTGACGATCCAAGTTAAAAGTAATTATACATCTGATATATATATATATATATATATATATATGGTGTCACAATATAACCTGAACTTAAATACTGACTGCCGGTTAAGTTATTGAACATTTAAGAGCAACATATATACGGTGTAGTGTCATTCGATTTTCATTCCATAAAAAAACACTTAAGAGCTCAATATTGATTCCAAAAGTAACAGAATAATCTACTTATGAAGCAATTAATGACTGTAATAGTATAACGTAAAACAGAATCTGCGTTATTTCACTGCCAATTATCTAGAACTTAACGAAGAAAACCCTACCCCTCTATTGATAATTGTAAACCCATAACAGCTAATGCAGAAGAAAAGAAAACAGTCTGGAAGCTTTTATTCATATGTACGAAAATGTCGAGGGATTAAATGTATTTAAATGGAACCACCAGATGACTGAGATCAATGTTTCTTTACCTAGTCTAGATCTAAATGACACAGTAACAGGTTATTTTTTTATTAAATCTTACCTGGACATGACTGGTTAGGCATATTGAACCCGGCTCCACCCATTCCGAACGGCATACCTCCTAAAAATTTATCCACATTAAATACATGAGGAATATACTACGAAGCTAACCGTTTTTATAAATACGTTTGATAAAATAGACAAGTTTTATTTTGTTATTTACTTTAAACATAGCTGAGTAAGCAAAAGATAGACCGATAGGTCTTTAATAAAATGAACAACTGAATGTTTCGACTCCAATGAAATGTAGCCCGACTAAGAGTCATATGAGGTTTTGAAATAGCGTTGTTGGACCCCATTTACTGCGTAAAATTCAAAAGCGCAACTCACCAATTCATTGAAGTCGAGTGCAAATTCTTAGCACATGCACCAGTCTGTAGACTGGTGAAAATACCATTGAACCACATCTACAAGCTGCAGTATTATTCACGATCACGTAGCTGATCTTGATATCAAGAATACTTAGGAAAATGTTTTATTAGACAAATTTTATATTTAAACGTCTGTCTAACATTACTGGACGTGGCTATAGTGATATACGCTGTTCGAAAATCTGATTACCTATACTAACTACAAATCTGTTAACTGATACATCGAAAAGAAAGTGCACTTTAAGGTGTATATAAGTTTGTAAACGTTATTCAAATCCAAATCTGTCGGTATGGTTGACTTACCGGGCATAGCACCACCGCCACCACCACCAAATCTATTCTTCATTTTCTCAATGACCTTCATTACCTTGGGGTTGTTTTTGTACTTATCCATGGCAGCTGGGTTTGAGCATACTTCGCTGAATGCCTTCATCACTTCAGGGTCCTAAAAAAGTTAATGTGAGTATGTAAGGATGGATTAAACATAGCTTTTTGATCTATAAAACAAAAACTTTAAAGTACGCGGATCAACTTCTAGCAGAGCTAAACTTATTATTAAACCTAAAAGTAGGAATCTATACTTGGAGCACTTTTTATAGACCTTTGATCACATAAAGTCAAGTATAACTTGTAATAATATCGTTCGGAACTAAAAATCTGCTATTAGCAGGCTATGAAATAGAAGCAAATTAGTGACTACCTATTATCATTATTATTAGATAACTAAGATATCAGTGGTTATGGATGGAATAGTGAGTACCGTAGAATTTACTTTGCTGTTTATAATTAAACTGTTAGAACCTCAACACTCGGATTATCTTGCTAGTCTCTTTATACTACCGAAGACTAAAAAACTACAAATTCTATACATAAACATCAGGAATTTCCTAACTAGATAAATCAGACTGACGATATTTGGTAGTCCCTAAAACACGGGCTAGGTTCTAAATGGTCCGACTTTAGTCACCAAACTCAACGATGATTTCAAAAACACGGGCAAGTGCTGTGCAGAATGAGTTTAAAAACTATATGATATTTACCTGGATAGCAGACATCAATTCTGGATCATTGAACAGTTGCGAAAACATATTGTCCATGCCTGGAATGTTGCCGCTTCCTGGAATGTCAAAATCGGGTTTTTCTGTATCCTATTCACGGAAAAATGGGAAAATTGAAAGCTACGACAAACAAGCCCACTTAACCAATAATTATGGTAGAGCGGTACATCGGTAATAACAAAAAGAGCACTCATTCCAAAATAAAAAATATATAGATTTGACTTTCCTAAGCGATCAGATAAGTTAGAAGTGGTTTTAAGATAACCACTTTGGAGCTGAATTCGACTTTTGAACATAGCGAATTCAAAGTGACCTAATTTATAAGCTTCGTATTTAAAATGACTAAAGTCTAAGTTGAACTCGCTTTACTGTTTTTAAAAAAGGTCGACTTGTCAATAGATAATGAAATCGATGGACGTTTGTGTGAGGACACCTAAATATACCAACTTGGAAATAAATACTTATGAACGGAGAATAGTACACACTAAAAAAACAAAATTTATGGTTCACAGTAGTTTACTCTCAGGCATTGAAATAACTCAGTGAAAAAACAAATTTATACACAATCATTTTTCCAAGTACAAACAAAACAAGTTGACCTACTCTCTGGGCGCGTTCACGCTCTTCTCGTGCTTTTCGAATTCGCTCGCGTTTTTCTCGTTCTAGCTTTTCTTGTCGTTTACGTTCATACTTCATGTTATGTTCGAAGATTCGTTTGTGCTATTCGGAAAACAATACCACAATAACTGTAACAAACATGTGCGTAAAATTGAAATCAAAGTTGGGATTGTCCTTTAATAATACGGGATGTGGTCAGAAGTTGCTTCCGTTAGAGTTGCTACATGTCACATCAAGACTAAAATCTAGACACGCGGAGTAGTGGACTAAATGTACGGAATACATATTAAGAAAGGGTAAAACCACAGATTAGGGCCAGTATGCAAGGAAATAAACACATCCATTTGACTAGTCGACTTTCGACATTTTATGTACCGTGAAGCAACAATTACCCTAACAGTCAGGTCAGAAATGTACATCTAGCTGACGTCACAACCTCAACCATGCCACAAAACCGACCAGGTACCCCGAAGTTGCCATAGACGACGGACCAGGGCTACGAAACGATCTCAGTGAAGTCTAAATACTTAGTAATCGGACCGTCACTTTAATACATTACGGCTGAGCTCAGTGTTATTCACACGACGGTATCACCACTAGCGACTAACCCATGTGGGTTTTTTAGATATGTTCAATAACCAAAACGTAACAGGGCAGTGTGTAAAATACTCACCCTTATGCCAAAAGTAGATCACTTACACCCAAGGTAAACTCTGCAAAAGTCAGTCAGTGTACGCACGCCTGCCGATGAAATTTACAAAGTCGCAGGAATGCTAATCCTTATTTTTGATGGCTTAATGGATTAGTGAATTAGGGAAGTCCAAAAGGGGAGGAGGAAGGCCTGAAATTGATTTTTGTTACCAGAACAGGACGCTCTCTTGGGTAAGCCGGATGGTTAGGGATCAAGATCAGTATTTAGCAACTCAAATATGAGCCAACTGTAGAATGAATTTACGTCTAGATTACTCATCCTTCACTAGGCAACCCTAAACCGGTGTATGCATTGGTAATGTCAGCAAGACTCTGGGGTCCTGAAAACAATAGATATACTAAGTATACAAACAAGGTGACCTGCTACACTGAAGGAAACAAATGTGGAAAATTCGACACAAGCCATTTCGAACCACCTTGGTGACTAGATATATGTTAGTGGACTAGACTAATGCTCATTTTGTTATAAACAGTGATAATTTTCATGAGTCTCACGAGGCAGTTTGTAAGTAAAAATGATACTGACATACATATAGATAAGTATCCAATTACGAAGAATTACCTTTGGTTCGATTTCCTTTATCGCTTCATTGGCATCATCTGAGTAGTCTAACCTCAAAGATGTCTGAAGATCCCGATAGGCGGCTTCCCAATTACCAATCATTCTGTGGAGTAGATTTATTTACAATCAGAGCATACTTATTAGCAAATCCTCTCCATTTGTAAGGTTGTGCAGAATCAGGGTTTAACGAAATAGCTTTGTCACAATCTGCGATAGCATGGGACGGCTTTTTCATTCGTACAAAGCAACTATGGAATTGCCAGATAAAATGGAATTTACCTTGCACGTCGAGCATGAAATAGTGAGGACTGGGGGTTTAGTTTAATTGCTTCGGTGAACAAATCAACGGCCCCAGTAAAGTCTCCGTCAGACATTTTAGCCATTGCTTCACATTTCTTTTCTTCAGCTTTTTCTCTCAATTCATCAGTTACTTCTATCGAATCGTCACCCATATCTAGGTCTGGGACAGGTTCCTTTGGCAGCACTTCATCATCAAACTCTGGAAAGTGTTAGTAATCACTGTTAACATCTACCTATTTCAGATTCTGAGGTCTCATCTGCACCAGAGTCGTCTGAAAATGAATTTTCAGTGGGTCGGTTAGGTTGTGAATCAGGAACGTTAGCCCCAAGACTATTTGCAAATAAACAAAACCGAAAATATACCTTTTAAGCCAGTCTTTGAAGAACGAGAGTTCAGGGGTGTCGAGAACTTCAGGTTTCTCTTTAAGCAACTCAACAAACTGCTTAAGCAATGCGACCCTCTCCGGATTCATGCTTACGAAAACGCGCTTTAGGGAAAGGACCAGAACAGGCTTACTCAACAACGACTAGTTCAAACAAAACTAGACAGAAAATCTTAAGTAATCACCGGTTGATATAATTCATTGTTGTTCGTCAAATATGATTCGAAACCAATTTTTCATACACGTACGGATTTTGAATTCAGTTGGACTTGCAAAATCTATATAAACTTATTGTCATTCAGCTTATGGACGTAAATAATTCCCTAAAATAAATAGTTCTGCAGGTCTTTGACATTGATGCTGAACTTATTAGTTTTACTGTACACACTCCAGCTGAAGGCGTTCTGTCGATCATCCTCACCAAGTCACGATCGAGGACGCCGTGAAGGGCGTCCCTCTCAACAACCAGTCAGCTTAGATCAGGCAATTCTCGACACATTGACTATCTTCCAAGTATATCTCCGAAAACCTTTCTATTCGACTTCTGGTTTGACTGACTTTGGGATACTCGATTATGAAGGTGTTGCGAACAGCAGTGTGTAGTGACATTGGACCATAACCATACAATCCTCAAAGCTGAACACGAGACAACTCGGAAAATAGATATTCAGTATTTAACGCGGAGAAATACCGAACGATTGAGAAGGCGGGAAGAATGTGTGGAATGAATTGGAGTTGATCGGATGGCATGGCTCGGCCATGTAGGCGTGGTTCATCTGAATGTTACCTTTTATCTTCTATTCATATTAAATATATTGTTCTTTCTCTAACCTAAGCTTGTTCTTCATCATGTATTGGTAGTTGTTACGATACAGTGAGTTGGTGTAGACGATGATGTGACTTCCACGTTAGATCTTATAGATTAGGCAGTTATATCATGACAAATCTAAAATTTTAGGATTAGGTCTATTATTAGCGTTGTACTAACATTATAGTAGACCATAATTCTACAAGTGTTGTGAGGGAAGGTATACTCGTGAAAACCTTAGTGGTGAGCCCGACCTGATACAATTCACGGAATGAAAATTTTTATGTTTCCTGTCGCGACAATATATGTTTTATTTTATGCATCGTGTGAATGTGCTATTATGTATTTTTCGCATATTTAAATATTTTGTTCCTAAAAAATAGGAACCCAAACCCAGACCATCAAGGATTAAGGCATATAAAGACGCTACAAGTACTCGAAGTTTAACAACGCCTTTACCAGTGTCATCTTTTGTAATCAAAACGTGCCAACACAGTTAAATCAAAGGTCAGGAACGAAGGGGTTCGAAGATATATTTGATAGGATACCAATATATCGAGAAGTGATCAATCTAAGCCAGTTAGCGGTCGTAGGAGGTGGGAAGCATGGTGTACCCGATAGTGATCTGGTGCGAATGTGGGGCCGAGCACCTCCAGATAAGTGAGTCCACTAAAACTGATGCGGTTAGCATCAAATGTTGATGATTTACAGAGCTATTGATTTGGGGATTTATTTGCCGCTACACCTTCATGCCACCTTGCAAATCACACAATCCTGAGGATCTGTTACAAACCCTAAAATTTCACACAGTGTAATCACTGACCAAGGATGCAAACAACATTCTTGCAAGCGTGATCACTAATTTAGAACACAGATTTACATATGAGACATTCTCCCGTTAAGATTATCAAGACGAACAATTCAGTATGTCGGCGAAATTTTAAAAAAGAATGTTCCTGGAGGCATACCATGTAAATACAGAATTAATTTGCGTGAGGAAAATCCACAATAAGTTAAGTATGTCAGGAGTTATTGAGAAGAAAGCGTTTGGCAAAACTGCAACCTTGATGGGTGAGTATATTAGATAATGATCAAAGGTTGGGTAAAAGTTCCATAGTTGTGTGCTGTAAAGACCACGTTGAAGAAGGGGGAAAAAGTTAGCAGGAGAACGGATGACTGTAGAAGGTCGACAAATGATTTTTGCAATGAAACTAGGCGTCAATTGTTCTGCAGTTAGTTTACTTTGATTGAATCTACCAAATAAAATGCATGAGCTATATGAACTTAGCAATACTAATAATGCTTATCTGATGGGAATATCTGACACTTGTATATCTTCTCCGTTTACGGATTAGGAGCTAGCAATACTTGGGATGTCTCTGTTTCGCAACGGCAGAAAAACGGAAATCGGGAGTGTAGTAGCCCTATGCATACGATCCTGCCTGGAGGTAAACCAAGATCACAATCAAGAGCTTGCCAACCTTGATGAATCCGCATGGTGCTCAGTAAGATTGTCTATCACTTCGAGGTGCCTAGTTGTGGTCATCTACAGGAAGCCCGATGCTGACATCGAGTACGACAATCGTATGCTGGAAAGAATATCCCGCTCTACGCGTCTCGGACTCACACATAACCTGATTCTAGGGGACTTCAAACTCCCTAGAGTCAATTTCGCGGAAATTACGTATACTGGATGTGAAAACTAAATTGAAACTCGGTTCTCCAACCTCATTGAAAATCTGAGATTATTCGAAAATGTGAAGTCGGCAACTCGTTGGAGAAACAGTCAGATACCTGGTATTTACCAACAAAGATTTCCTAGTTGACGACCTCTCAATCCTGGCTTCTCTGAAGAAAAGCGATCACGCCGTTATAGCCTTCAGTTTTGTCAGCAAAACTGAGCTGAGATATCCCACCATCAAAAGGCGCTAAAATTTCAAAGGGTTGAATGTGTCAGCATTACAGGACTATCTACAACAGGTGGATTGGAATGTTTACTCTCAACTTGATGTGAATGCTAATTTGGAATTCACATGCAACCTGCAATCATCAAGAGCCACACTCTTCGTTTGTTAAGCCACATATAAGGAACATATGCACGAAGGCTATAAGAGAAGACAAGCTTCATTACCAGATAAAGCTTATGGATAAACTTGTCTCTAATTCGAAAAGCTTATTCCGTTAAGCCGCCTCTCTTCGACAAGTCAAAACTGAAGTTTCACAACTGCTCAGACCCGATGCCCCAACCAATAATGACGGCGATGCCGCTAACCTTTAGGCCGGACAATACTTTCGGACACTTCAACCGACCCACATCAACTATACTGATGACAGCTTCATCTGCAACTGCACAGGACTTTCCGAAGTTAACCTGAGCGCTGACTTAGTGTTCCGGAAACTGCAGCACCCACGAAAAGACACTTCTTCTGGCCTGGATATGGTTCATTCTGCTATACTGAGGGAAGCGGCCTAAATCCTGGCAACACCGCTTAGCGTGATGTTCTTACACTCGCTAAGCCGAGGAAAACTACCGGAAAATTGGAAGCTGGCTCACATCACACCAATTTTCAAAGGAGGTCGACGCAGCGAACCTTCACGTTGCCAACCGGTAACTCTTCCGTCTTTACCTTCAAAAATTTTGGAGTTCTTGATATGCGATGGTATACACGACTATTTACTATCATTAAACTTCTTACCTCAACAGCATGGTTTCAGGAAGGGTCACTTTTACATAACCAACCTAATGAATGCGGTGGACAGATGGATAAGTATCTCTAATCGCAAGCGGAAGGTTGACGTCATTTACCTTGACTTCTCAAAAGCTTTTGATAGGGTTAACCATACATGTCTTACCAATAAGCTCGAACGATTGGGTATCAAACAATCTCTAATTGTCTGGGTCACTTCATATCTAAAAGAATCGACATTTTAAGGTCAGGGTTAATTTCACTTTATCTCAGGCTATGGAATGTCCTAGTGGGGTACCCAGAGCTCAGTACTAGGACCTCTTCTTTTCTTAATTTATCTTATCGATCTTCCACAATAGGTATCACCTGACTTGTTAATTTTTGCTGATGATGTGAAACTTTGGATAGAGATACGCAACCAAGAGGATATACTGGTACTTCAGGAGGATCTGACTCGGCTTTAAAGTTGGGCAGACGGCAACGGACTTACCTTAAACACTTCAAAGTGTAAAGTAGTCCATCTGCGACATGTCTCAGACTACAGTTATAACTTAAGAAACTCCTCTCTAGTAGCATCCCGAGTCGAAAAATAATTAGGAGTCCTGGTAACCTACGATTCGAAGTCTTACGCTAACTGAGACGAGAATGCCTTTCGAGCAAACTTTGCACTGGCAACATTTGAGCGCATTTTTGGCCAGTTTGACGGAAGAACTTTCCACACAATCTTCAACAGTTTTATTCGTTCCCATTTAGAGTACGAAACAAAATTTCCTCCCTCACTCCAAAAGGATAAGGACACTCTGTAGCGTATCCAAAGGCAAGCTACGGAATCAGTTCGGGGACTCGAATTTAAACCTTATGAAGAGCGCCTCCAATCACTTATACTTTACCCATTAGAGTACAGGCGTCTTAGAGGTGACCTTCTAGTGGCTTACAGTATCCTTAATACTTCTGGACATCTCCTTAAACACCTACCTAAGCTTAGTCCCAATACGAACCTAAAGGGTAACACCCAGAAATTGGAGACAAAGCATAGCAGAATGAACTGTAAACACAACTTCTACTCTTTAGGAGTTGTCAAACGCTGGAGTTCGCTGCCAACTGAACTAGTCCGAGCGACTTCCCAGGAGTCCTTTAAGAGGAAACTGGACCTATTCTTAAGGACTAAGGATAACATCTTATTATGATTCACCAATTTCTTTTTTTCCCTCTGTTATCATTCACATACCTAGGTTCCTGCCTGGAGGTATTGGTGATCCACTGCTACTAGATACGGAAGCCCGTTAAGCAAAAGCTTCTTCTATTCCGTCCACAATCATTTGAACCATTTAGATATATTGGGGATCGAAACATTAGATTTTTCCGGTCCTCCAAAAACTGAGCTCAGTTGAAAGAAGTTATTCACACAATAAATCTTATCATACAGACAGTATAGGACGTAAATAATATATTACCAATAAACTGTACATTCACCGGATAGCAAATACTGGATGGAGTGAAGTCTATAAATCAAAATATAATGATAAAGGCCCAGTCAGCTTCCAACTTTTGACTTTGAGGTTTGCAACATATCAGTCAATAGCAACTGACAACTAAATTATATCCAATCAAATAAACGGAATTTGATTTAACTAAGCAAATATCAAGTCTCAGTGTGTCATCTTTGACATTAAGGTATGCTTTATCAGTAGGTCAAATTCAAACTGATTTTCATCACCAGAGTGAGCTGTCGTTGAAGTGTCTGCTTCTTTATTTGGTTGTAAGGCCCTTATTACCAAATAAACCGAATTAAATTTGCTCTAATCACTGAACTGAACACAACTAACGGTATGAGAGGACATTCGGAGAAAGTTCAAAAACCGAGGTCAAATCGTCTATGTCTGTAGTT